ATATATATATATATATAGATATATATATATATATATATATATATATATATATGCATATGTTTATGTAATATATATATAACTATGTATCTATATATCTATGTAATACACACCCACAAAGATTATTTTAGAAATTCAAGTGTTTTCGTAGAAATCCGAAAAGCAATTAAATTTTAAATATATATATATATATATTTTTTAATTTGATTGCATAAAATTATACTTCTTTTTCAAAAATAAAAAGTGCCTAAACATAAATTCAACATTAAAAAAAACGAAATCCAAATCTTAATAATTACCAATCACTTTATTAATTAAACTCATGATACTAGCATATTATGTGATAAACATTGAATGGTTTGAATGTTTTGTATCATATAATGATTGAATGAGTTGAATGATTTTATTTTAATTGGAAGACATGTCAGTTCGTGCATAATCCAAAGTGTGTTGCACGAGTTCAATAACAATCTTTTAAAAATTTGGGGTATTTACATATATACTAGCCAATTCTAATGCATATTTAGCATCTAATGATATTGTCCTCCTGCTCTTAAAAGTCGTGAAAGGATAAAAGAAAAGGATAGGTTGGTTATGGGAAGGGTGAGGGAAGTGAGAGGAGCGATGTCGGTTGAAATCCGACATGAACGGGGGGATGACAGTGGTAGGTGGCAAATTGGACAACAAAGAAAGCTTGCGAACGCCTAGGAGAGATCACTACTTCTCTTGTGTCATTATTCATTTCTTCAATTGCTCTCTACTCAGTAGAAGAGATCTTTCTTCTGCTTGGGCAAACTGATGCAATGCATCCGTAATTGTGACACTTGAATCACTTCTTGGTTAAGAAAGATCTGAGAGTATTAATTAACAACACTTTGTCTCCACTCTGAACTGGTTTTTCCTCAAATAGGGGAGGCTGGGATACTCCATTGGGTATACTTTTAATGTTTGATACAGGTTTAAACTTTTCTAATAAGGTGTGGCGATCACTTGGTGACGTTACTATTTCTCCACCTTTAAAGCTAGAGCATGTACATTGAGTAGGGACCAATATATTTACAGTTGTGTCACATTCCTAACAGACAACCTTAGTCCTCCAAAATACCCTATTGGTTGCTCCTTTGATTCTAACAATCACTTTTCAACAAGAGTTGATTAAATTCAGCTGTATAATTCTCCAAAAAATAATCTCTATCGTAGGTGGTAGAGTATTATGAATATATCATGTCGGTGATGCGGAGGAAGGTGTTTTTGTTGCATCTCATTTTTCATCTTATAACTATATGGTAATCTCACTCTTCCATTCATGATATCAAAAACGTTTCAGATTTTCCCACCATAGAAATGAATTTTTTTTTAACTTGATGGTTACTAGCATGAACCTTTAGTTAAGTAGAACACTCTTGTACTCAAATTCTCGTTTCACTGTCTTAAGCCACTATGAACTCGTCTGGATCCACACTACCGCAAAATCTGATAAGTCAATCTTTACTCCAAATTTTTAACTCTTCTAATATCCCATGCCAAATCATCAAGGTATTGGTTCATCATCGAAAAGTACCTGGAGGAAGAAATTCAGTCCCTCCTCTCAATCTGGTGAGTCACCGTTGTGGCAATAGGTGATTTACAAAATTTTGTCCTCTCACAGGCTACAAGCCTCAGTTGTATCTGGCAAATATCTTTTTGCATGCCTTCCACAGTGAGCTCTTAAACACCCTATTGAGGGTTTCTCCTTGGCAATATGACATCATTTCCTCCCAATCAGCTTTTCAACGGATGCACGATTTTAAATCAAGGTTGATTGGGAGCTTAGATTTTGTGATAAATGTGAAAGTGAAATTTTGGTGTAGGTATGAGTGTTGGATTTTAAAAATTTATGAGGCTAGGAATTGCGAGAAGAATAAATTGGTTTTAGTCGAGAATTTTTTTTAAAATTTTTGGTTTGAAGCTCAAAAAACAAAACCCTAAAATAGATAGTAATTTCTAGGTTCTGATACTGTATGATCATCTTAGAGCTCTTAGAAGGCGTGAAAAACTAAAAAAAAAGGGATGTGCAGGTTGTAGGAAGGGCGATGAAAGTGAGAGGAAGGATGTTAGTTGAAATCCGATGTGAAGGACGAAATGACAACAATCAATAGCAAATTAAACGATGAAGAAGGCCCCCAAACATCCGAAGGAGATCACCACTTGTTTATATCAAGCTACATACACATCTCCTTGAAGATATCCAAAAATACAATACTCTATAGAGAAAATAGGAGAAATATCTCCAAATAACATAACAATAGCAAAGAATCCCCCAATATAGAAAAATAAAACATATATACAATCCCATTTCATAAAGAAGCCCTAATTAGAAGAAATAAATATTAAATAACTTAGAAAATGCAATAATCCAAATTGAAACACTCATACAGTATGAATTTTATTTCAGTCTGTCACGAACTGACCCATGTAACAAAATTAAATTAGACGCTCCCACGTCACCTAAACTTTATTTTTTAGATTTATATCACCCAAATCTTTTATATCACATCTAAAATATCATTATTTTAATTAAAAAAAAACACTTGTTATAGATAGATAAAGTGACATACAAGTAAAAATAAAAATTTATTTTAAATACATAAATCATAAAAATTTAGTGATGTATGTAAATCTTCCAGAAAAAAAAAATATTATATAAAAAAAAAATATGAAATTCATTCTTTATACAGTTCAATTAAAAATCGGAAAACTAATAATACAATTTTACTTCTAAAACTTATTTTCATTAGTCCATCTAGATAAGCGAATATATGACAAATTTGTTATTAAACATTCGGAAGAATGTTGCATTTTCTAACCAAAATACAATCTGTACAAAAATAAAACACAAAGGATAATCAACAATTAGCATTAGACCTAAACTAATTCGAAGACTGATTGTCCTGATTAAATCAATTGAAACCAAATTCAAACCAACCCAACATGATATCTCAGAAAAGAGCAGGAGGCCAAAAATCTTTCCAGCCAACAGCTATTCGTTAGAATCACAATCATATGATTCAGGCACCATTCTCTCCAATGCAGCACAGCAGAAAGTGTCTCTATCCTTGAGCAGAAGACGGCTTCCATCTGCATTCCATTTAAGATCGAAAACAGCAAACTGAGGCAGTGGAATATTCACACAGTAAGCTCCTGAAGGATTCCACATGTACAGATGGGCGCTGCCGGTGCACAGCACAAGGCGGGGACAAGTTGGATCCCACGCCGCGGCACGTATCGGCTCTTTCTGGATCATTACGGCGGCAAGCTCGAGATGGCGAATATCCCATATCCAAAGAACGTTAGGCATGCTGTCATTACGGCTGAAGAGATACTGGCTGTCATTACTCCATGATAATAAACCTGAGACATCATAATTTGGAAGATTTATATAAATACCACTCAATTCCTATGTATTTACATATTTAACATCTAAGCTTCTAATGCTTCACTTTTTAAAAGTTAAAATGATGGTATTTTTTATGTCGTATAGAAGATTTGAGTGCTATAAATGTAAAAGATAAATTTTTTGGAGTTAGACATGTAAATACATAGCAGTTGGGTGGAATGTTTTGACTATTTCCCAAAATCAAATCATGTCACAACTTTAAACCTAAACATTAGAAAATAATTGTAACCATCGTGAACATTACAGATTCTTCACTGTCATAATCCCAGCATTGAGATGCCATTTTTACCATCAAATCATAATGTAAAATAATGGTGCAATACGTATAACACATTGAAATACAAATATAATTCCAAGATGAGAAACAAACCGATGCCTTGTTTCGGATTAGGCTTGTCTATTGCTGGCTTTTGGTATGGTAAACTAATAGGAAGGCCCATTAATTTGTACTTAACTCCAGAGCTCCCCTCAGCAGCGTTTTCTGAAAGTGGCAAACAAAAAATTGGTGAGATGATGTTATAAGAGAAATATAGCATCACCATGCACATAAAAACAGGATCGAATAAGGCAATATGCAATTTTTTTACCAATAACTTAAAACTGTGCGGATAATTACAACTGTAGCCTGTCATCATGACCTCATTTAAACAGGCGATTTTTGGTAGTTCTGCAATACGCCGTCGTCTCACTCTTGTCAGAAAAATCATCCATGTTATCATAAAGATGGACAAGTCACTCAAAAGCGCTTTCTCCACTTTCCATGATTGTAAAGGCATGGACTAGTTCTGAGTTAGGTTATCTTTCCAGAATTTTGACACGGGAAGATTTTGAAAATCAATGCAGATGCACACAATATAAGTCTTATAAAACACTCTCATTAATAATTTCAAAATAGATAGCTCCATCCATGATTTTTCTCATACATCCATGGCACCACTGCCTTTATATCACCCCATGGATATAATAAAATGGTGTCGGCAGTGGCAGCGGGCTCTGCTAGAGTTTCGCCCGATGGCATTTCCCGGCGTTGAATCTATCGGCCTCTCTCCTTCTTTCCGCCATCTCCCGACGACGATTTCACGTACACGCAGCTCTCAGTCGACGACGCTCGCTCGTTTCTCCAGTCGACGACGCTCGCTCGCTGTCGTTTCTCCAGTAGACGATGCTTGCTCGTAGTAGTTTCTCCTTACCCGTAGTCGACGATGCTCGCACCAGCCGACAACGTCTGGCTGCCTTCGACAGTGTCTGACTGCTCGTCTCCTAACTTGACGACGCGCCTGTCGCTCTTCTGCCCGACAGACAGTTTCGTCTAGCTGTTGATGCGCCCGAAGTCTGCTAGCATCTTTGTCGCAGCTCGCCAAGCCGCTCAAATCTGACCAAGGTCATTTTGCCCGTGGAGATGGCCTCAACGCTCCGTTCCTATGTCACTGCCCTTGCCGGCGACTTTCCTGTTCCTATTCGTGCCCCTTTTTCAGGTTGAGAGCCTAGTTTTGGTATCGGTAAGTCCTGCAATGTTACACAATCCTTCCATGAGGCTCTTGAAGATGGTGATGATCACACTTTCATTAATAAGTTTGGTAAAAAAATGGGAAGCCTACTCTTTTTCTCATTGAGGTTGAAACCAGTACTCTTGCGTCTTCTTGGTGTTTTTCTCTAGTGGGAAAATTCCTTTAAAGACATCCAAAACTTGAGATCATTCAGAAAGATTTTGATGTTATGAAGCTATCGGGCAGTTGGAATATTGACTTACTTGACGGCGGACATATAATAATTCAATTATCTCACCATGCGGATTACACTTGTATTTTTTCTCGTAGACTTATCAAGATCAACAACCGTTTTATGAAAATCCTGAAGTGGACTATCGATTTTGATTCAAAAGCGGAGTTCATTATCATTTCTGTTTGGATAAAGTTTCCAGAGTTAAAATTACATCTGTTCAACTTGAAAATTTTCTATTTCTTAGCAACTGCTTACGGTAAGCCTCTCAAGATTGATAGTCTTATACTTGCTGTCACCAGACCCTCTGTGGCATGTGCGTTAGTTGAGAGATATATCACTCAACTAGCTTCGGATGAGATATGGATTGAAACCACTCACAACGGGCATTGGCAAAAGGTTGAAATAGAACCACACCCTTCTTATTGCTCTCATTGTAGTATGTTTGGTCATAGTTCTACTATCTGCTATCGTTTGCATCCTCATCTAAGGTCAAATATTGCTAAATATCAACAACCTGTTCAAAAATCTTTTCATACTGAATTGGGAGTAGACTTCTTGTCACCTACC